CTCCCTACTTCCGCTCAAACTCAGATGAATTCTTTGATCTCCAAAACCCTAATTCCCTCCGTCTCTCTTCGCTCCAAAACTCACTTCACTTCGATCCCTAACTCACTTCCTAACTTCAACAGGGCCACCGCAACTAGATTCATGAGTTCTGAGTCGGCTCAGCGGGTCTTCCAACTCAGACTCGATCCACTCACCGGGAACTCGGAGTGGGTCGTCATCGACGACAATGAGGAAGGTCCGGAAAGTTTCAAGGAGCCGCTTCTAGCTACGACGTTGTATCTCGACATGCTCAATGACTCTTCCCGGAACAGAGCCTACCGGTTGGCCATCGAGAAGACTGTAACAAAACCTTGCCACGTTCTTGATATTGGGTAATTCCATTGTAATTCAATTCAGTTATGCTTCTTGCTCTTGTTTTTCTTTTTGTTTCATTTTTTTCCAAATTGTTATTGCAGTGCGGGAACTGGGTTTCTGTCAATGATGGCGGCAAGAGCAATGGGGTTGAGTGACTCAACAGCTTCTCTTGGTAGTAGCAAGGGGATGGTAACTGCATGCGAGTCTTACCTTCCAATGGTGAAGCTCATGCGGAAAGTTCTGCACAGAAATGGTATGGGAAGGAGTATTAAGGTTGTTAACAAACGCTCAGATGAGCTCATAGTTGGAGTGGATATTCCTTCACGTGCCGACGTACTTGTAAGTTTCACCTTTCCTGTATTTTCCCACAATGTGATTGCTAGTCAAAGTTATCTTCTTTGATAGATGGTGGAGAAGTAAAGATTACAGAATCCTTTATTTGTAAATGGGACAACTCTGGCTTATGAAATGCTAAGGTTCATTTCTAATGTACCATAAAAGTCAATTATTAAGTTTTACTGAGCATGTAGCCATGTAACTATAATCTATCATTGAAATGGGGTGATGGAAGCATACTGGAATCATAATCAGAGCATATGTCGTGGATTGTGTTCTGGGATGTTGTGAAATATTCAAGTGTAGAGTATTGTGTTTTGATTTGGCTCCCTGGTTTCAAAACATTGAATTCCTCAGTTATGTAATTACAGGTTAGTGAGATACTGGACTCGGAGTTGTTAGGTGAAGGGCTAATACCAACTCTGCAACATGCGCATGACATGTTATTGGTGCAAAATCCACTAACAGTGCCCTACCGTGCAACTACCTACGGCCAGGTTTTCGTCTTATCTTCTACTAAATCCCTTTTTTTTGGCTAAATTGGTTAAGCATCTGATTTTCTTTGTATTCTTTTCTATCATCTTATTGTCTTCAAGAATTCCTATATGGTGGATAGGTAGATAACTTTTCTTCTGCTGCTGCTGGTTGTTTTGTGATTTAACCGTTATTTTTCATTTTTATTGTTTTTGTTCTATCTATTATTTGATTTATTTTTCTTTTTCTCTCTTCCTTTTGTAGCTGGTTGAAAGCACATACTTGTGGAAGCTACATGATTTACGTGGTAATGAAGCAAAAACATCAGATGGCATACATCTTCTTCCTGCTGGCTTTGATACTATTTTAGGTGTCAAACCACACCAATATCCAATGCACTGTGATGCAATAACAAAAGAAATTAAGCTGGTAACTGCCTTACTTGCACTTCTAACGACTTAGAAAAGTAAATGTTTTAATTCCTATATAATTTAGGATTTATCCAGCTGTCAGACCCCTTCAAAATATTTGAATTTGACTTTTGGAAACGGCCAAACAGTCATGGAAAAGCTGAGCTCCAAATAAAGGCAACAGAGGATGGTAGTGTTCATGCTGTAGTTTCATGGTAACAACATTTATATCTGCCTTTATTTGTGTCACAAATTTTTTTCCCTAAGATAGTCTATAAGCTTTTTCTGAAAGTGTGTCTTTGTGCCTCCACTCTTGTTGCAGGTGGATACTTCAGCTTGATCGTGAAGGAACAGTCTTTTATTCAACTGCTCCTCAATGGATAAATTCACCAATCAACACAGGTTAGTTCCTGACATATAGTTTGTGCAAGTAGGCATATTTAAGTTTTTTGTGCTAATAAGGAAATATATTTCAAAACATTGGGAAAATATATTTTATTGTTTTTTTGTTATATGATGCGAAGAGTGAAGACCCTGTAGTTGAATGTGAATCCAGAGGGAAAATTTGAAGCAGAAATTAGATATGTGTGTATGTATAGATAAGTTATATTGTTGAGGTTTTTGACCATTAACTCGTTATTTTTGACCATTAACTCGTTATTTTCTGATGCTCCACTAGGTGAATGGGATTGGTGTGACCATTGGAAACAGTGTGTCTGGCTCCTTCCTGGGAAGGGTGTAGTCATATCCAAGGGACAAGAAGTGTTATTGGAGGCCATTCATACTGATACTAGTATCTCATATAACCTGAAAACCCTAGTCCCAAGGACTGACATAATACAGCATGATAATAAATTTGAGGATTTTCAGCTCACACTACCACCTGAAAGAGTTGCAATTTATGGAGACAGTAATTGGAGACTGTCTATGTTAACAGCTCTAAAAAATGCTGTAAGATCTCTCTCTCGATTCCAACCATGCTTGTTAAGAGTCTTCCTCATGCATGTTGAAATTGTTTTTTTGTGCTCCCCTTAAAAAAATTTCATAGTTAGTGCTGTTCTCAAAATTTGAGTACTGCTAATTTTTTATGCTATTTCCCTCCTTTTGTTCTGGCACCCCTCTTTATGTAAATAATTTTCTTTATAGTTGCAGGGAAGAGATAGCCCATTATGTGTTGTTGCAGATGATAGCATTTTTTTAACACTTCTTGCTGCAAATCTTTCAAAAATGTCACATGTGATATCCTTGTTTCCTGATCTGAGGGACAGGGGTGCGCAATGTATTGAAGCTGTTGCTAGTGCAAATGGTTTCTCAATGTATCGTGTAAAAGTTATTGGAAATATGAAAACATGCTTGACTATGCATGATACTCGGCACAAGAAGGTAAACATTTCTTGATTTCTTCACACTTCTACTTAGCTCACGTGTATGACCTACTTTCAGAATTTAACTGTGCTTTACATGTATTCTGGTTAAATAGTTGCGGGTGATCTATGATTGAGCTTTACAAAATCATTCCTGTTCTGGTTGAGCAGTATGCTTATATATGCAATTTAAATCTTCAAAGCATCAGTTCTGAGTTGATTTTCAAAAAGTTAGGATTTTATGCTTTATTTCTAGGTTGACCTATTGATTGGAGAACCATACTATTATGGAAATGAGGGAATGCTTCCATGGCAGAACCTGCGTTTTTGGTATGTCTTCAGTATAGTAATTTGTTTCTATGGTATGACCTGCTTTTGCTTATACATTTCCTTACCACCTGAGTTGCATTTCCTTGTTCTCTATTTGATTTAGGAAGGAACGAACAATGCTTGATCCCATCCTCTCAAAGGATGTGTTGATTATGCCTTGTAAAGGAATGTTGAAGGCATGTGCTATGTCTCTGCCGGTAAGTTTGCATTATCACTTAACCCAGAGAAGGGAGGTCAAAAGAAAGAAGGATATTTTGGCCTTTTTGTTCAATATTATGTTAAAAAAATTTTTTTTTTGAGTATTCAAACTTCAAATGTGAACAAACTTTTATGCAGGATCTTTGGAACAGTCGCTGTTGCTTAAATGAGATTGAAGGCTTTGATCACTCAGTAGTAAATACTACTCTAGGTGCATGTGGTGAATTACCAGCTCCAAAAGAGGGACCTTGTCTGCCCTTTCCTATCTGGCAGTGTGGTGAGATTAAGGTAGTTAATACTCACATTCATGGAATTGATATTATAATAACACCTAATCATGGAATTGATATCTTGCAAATATTTCGAATATGTTGCAGGAGCTCAGTGAGATATTTACTTTATTGGAGTTCGATTGCTCAAAACCAATTAGTCCATGTTATGGACAAGTGCAGGTATCAGTCTACCTTATATGCAGAAGTAATATAGGTCACTGCAAATTCTCACCTGAATTTCATCATCTTGTTGTACAGGTTGCAACTTAGTTAAACATATAAGATCAGTTGCGAGTAATATAAAGCATGATGGAAGCCATCTTTTTTTTTTTTCTTAAACTAACATATCTTGCACATTTAATCTTGGAAAAAGTAATTCCTGCAGGTGAAATTTACTGAGCCTGGGATATGCCATGGGTTCGTCCTATGGATTGATTGGGTGATGGATGCAGACAATGCAGTTGTGTTGTCAACTGGGCCAGGTAGGTATTTCCTTTTTTTTTTTTTTTTTTTCTATTTTGGTATATGGAATGATGGATTATACAATAAAAGATAGTCCTCTCCTTCCTAAACCTCTCTTCATCTATTCTAAAATTCAAATTTAAAATTTCTAACATAGAGACTCAAGTTTTTAACTATGGGACGTCCTCTAAGGGACCGGGGTAGGTAATCCTAGAGAGGCTAATTAATCATCTGCAGAAAAATGATTGTAGGAGGTTACTCTTATCATTTTACATTGTTTACTGCAGATCACAGATATTGGAAGCAGGGGGTTAAGCTTCTGGCTAAGCCTGTAGCAGTTGGAATACAAAGATCCGAATGCACATCTGAATCAGTTTCTGC